CCCTACCGCAGACTGGTGACACTGGAACATGGGGTTTACTCCTACATCCAGTTCACAGAGCCAGGAGGATTCTAGATCGAGTAGAAGTGACTCACAAGCCCCTCTGGGTTGTATGGTAGAGACTCTGAGACTGCTGGGACCCTTTCTTATAATTCAGAGTCCCAGGTTTTATCCCTAGGAAGTCTGGAGTGGGGCCTAGGAATCCGCATGTAACACAATCAGGCATTTCTGATGCCTCATTTGTGTGTATCTACTCCAGGCAGTCAGTATTTGCTTCCCAAGGCTGAACCCAACTTCCGTCAAATTCCTTTTGATACAGGCCGAATCCAGAGAGAGATGATCAGGTGGGTTTTTGCAAAGACGAAATCACAGTCCTATTTTTCCTTCTTCTTCCCACTGTCCAGCTTCCCAGGCAGCCAGATTTAGGGCGACCTACCACATCTCTCTTCGTACAAGAACTCACTGGGGGGGGGCGCCTGGGTGGCTCAGTGGTTAAGCGTCTGCCTTCGGCTCAGGTCATGATCCCAGGGTCCTGGGATCGAGCCCCACATCGGGCTCCCTGCTCCACGGGAAGCCTGCTTCTCCCTCTCCCACTCCCCCTGCTTGTGTTCCCTCTCTCGCTGTGTCTCTCTCTGTCAAATAAATTAAATCTTTAAAAACAAACAAACAAAAAAACAAACAAAAAAACCCCAAGAACTCACTGGGGGAACACACGCTGGTCAAACCAACCAGTCATATTGTTTCAAGCTTGTCCCAGCAACTCCAATTTCTTTAAGTTGGTCAGAAAAGGAGGAAGTCCCTAAATGACTCACCCCTATGGGGGCACCACGCCTCTTTTCCCTCCTATCCGATTTCTTCTGAGAGAATGTGCAGATATTTGAATAAACTGTTCCTTTGGGGCTTTTTTTCTTCTCTCATACGTAAGGCCCATTTGCCATTTTGAAGCTTGCATCTCCAAACCAAAACGTGATGTGGAGAAAGAGTTTTCTTACGTTCCTTTTCTCTCTTTCAGTACAAAAAGCTGCCCTGGATTGTGACACAAGAAGAATAAACAGTAAGTTTCATTTATTTCCTTCTCTCTTTTACCAAAACCGTTTTCACCGACACCGTGGGGATGGTCAGCTTTCAACGCGACCGTTCATGATTAAGTCTTTCTATGCTTTTAGATGAGCAACCAAAGAGTCGAGTCTTTTCCATCACCTATAGTTTAAATGAAGCGATGTGAGGCCGGGAATTGAAGCTTCTTTCCTGAGACTTAGAGATAAAATATTGAGATTGTTTTTATAATGAAATATTTTTCTTTCTGCTTTTTTTTTGAAGATTTATTTATTTATTTTAGAGAGAGAGAGTGGGTAGAGGGGCGGAGGGGGGAGAGAGGGGTTGGAGAGGGAGAGAGAGAATCTCAAGCAGACTCCCCATTGAGCGTGGAGCCAGCTGCAAGGCTCCATCCCAGGACCCCGAGATCCTGACCAGAGCCAAAATCAAGAGTTAGCAGCTTAATCGACTGAGCCATCCAGGCATCCCTGTTGTTTTTTTTAATGTACAAAATCAACACATAATCACTGTAAAATAATTTAAGCGACAGAATAAAAAATATGTATTGGGAGACAGTTTATCATCATAGAGCTAGACCTGCTAGGGTCATGGTCCTAACCCTGGTTCTACTGTTTTCCAGCAGGCAGCCTGGGTGGATGATGCAACCACTTGACACTTAATCTCTTTCCTCTGTGATGTGGGGATAATAAAAGCACCTACCGGGGAGGGTTCTTATGAGGAGGACTGAGTAAGACAAGCCATGTCCCTCGGCACAGCGCCTGACATTTGGTGAACTGTCAATAAATGCTAGGCCACTGGGGCGCCTGGGTGGTTCAGTTGGTTAAGTGTCTGCCTTCGGCTCAGGTCCTGATTCCAAGGTCCTGGGTTGGAGTCCTGCATCAGGCTCCCTGCTCAGCGGGGGGGTCTGCTTCTCCCTCTGTCCCCCAACCCCGGCTCTTGCGCTCTCTCTTGCTCTCTCTCTCTCAAAAATAAATAAAAAAAACCTTTAAAAATAAATAAATAAAATAAAATCCTAAGGTGAAATTGCTGGGTCAAAGGTCAAGTTGCCCTCCCAATACCCTGAAACTTCACCAACAGTGACCACTCACATGGGCGAGTGTTTCCCACCCCTCTCCAATAGCAGAGACAATCTGTTTGTAAATTGCCAATCTGATGAGTAAAAACCAGTATCTCAGTATTGTTGTGATTTGTAGTTGCCTCATTACTCATGAGGCTGAGTGTCTTTTTCATGTTTATTGGTCATGATCACTCAGTTCCATGGGGAGGAAATTTAGGGATGGCTATATGGTTGGGAAGAGAGGAGAGGCTTTGTCTTGAAGCTGAGTTTATACGTAAGACTGAGAAAATGTTAGTTGTCCAGACCAAAGAGTGGAAGGGAAGTTGTTGGCATTTTTGAAGGGCCTAAACCCCTCCTCCACCCAAGCTATCCCCTGGCCCTAGCATATTTAATGGCCCTCTGCATTCATTCTTCTGGGAATTACCTATTCATATTATTTGTCCATTTATTTGTCTTTTTCTTACTCATTTGCCATTGACTTATATGTATAAAAAGAATCCTTTGCTTTCATTTACATGTTAAGTATTTCTTTTTAGGCTGTCACTTGTCTTAATTTTGCCATAGAAAAGCTTTAAGTTCTTTGTGGCTCTCAATTTTTGTGCCTTACTTGGAAGAACTTTTCTTCTCGGGTGATATAAAAACATTTTCTTTTTTTTTTTTTAAAGATTTTATTTATTTATTTAATTGACAGAGAGAGAGAGAGACAGCGAGAGAGGGAACACAAGCAGGGGGAGTGGGAGAGGGAGAAGCAGGCTTCCCATGGAGCAGGGAGCCCGATGTGGGGCTCGATCCCAGGACTCTGTGATCATGACCTGAGCCGAAGGCAGTCGCCTAACTGAGCCACCCAGGTGCCCATAAAAACATTTTCTAATATTTCTCTTCTTTAATAATTTTATTCTCTTACATTAGATTTTCTGATGAGGGTTATTATTTCCCTTGGCATTTTAAAATAATAAAATACAAACATACAAGCTATCAAAGACTGCTGGGTAGTGTCAAAAGGACTCAGGAGGGGTGCCCGCTGGCTCAGTTGGTAGGGCATATGACTCTTGATCTCAGGGTGGTGAGTTCAAGCCCCACACTGAGCATAGAGCTTACTTAAAAACAAACAAACCCTCTCCCTCTGCTTCCCCCCCTGCTTACTCTCTCACATGCACTCTCTTTCTCTCTCAAATAAATAAATAAATAAATAAAACCTTAAGACAAACAAAAACAAAACAAAAAAAGGACTTAGGAGCTGGTTCTGAGGTGCTTCCCATGGTCAAAAAATGGGACAATAAAAATAATAATTGCAGGGCGCCTGGGTGGCTCAGTTGGTTAAGCAACTGCCTTCAGCTCAGGTCATGATCCCGGAGTCCTGGAATCGAGTCCCACATCAGGCTCCCGGCTCAGCGGGGAGCCTGCTTCTCCCTCTGACCTTCTCCCCTCTCATGCTGTTTCTCTCTCTCTCTCTCAAATAAATAAATAAAATCTTTAAAAAAAATAATAATAATTGCAATGGATTGAAATACATCAAATATGTTTAAACTATGAATTCATAACGATTCTTAAACAAAAAATAACAACAATGAAAGAAAAATTTCCGACTGTTACAAGATGCTAGGAAACAAACTCATTATTTTCAGAACTGGTCAATAAAGGAAGAGAACCAAGGATTTATCCTGCCTTTTCTATGCAAACCATACTTCAGTAGAACTAAAGAGTTGATGGGGGCAAGTTTCCCTTTATAGAATTATTTCAGATAATAAATAAAAAAGGAAAGATAGAATTAATATATCACCATTTTGCAACCTCTAGTGGAATAATGCTTCCAAGTGGTTATTGTCAAAGCCTACTAAGAAACAAAAAGAGAGATGATCAGACATTATGTGCCTCCTCATGGAAGTGCATACTAACCCCATGCATTCTTGCTAAATAAAAGCTAATCTGAATTTCATTAAGCCTCTGGGCAGGGGACAGAGGAACATGGTAAAAGATACCATGGGAATGTGATCAACAAAATTGAGACCATGGAAAACACTATAGAATAAACAGCTTGCTATCTTCAACAAATAAACTGTAGGGGAGGGGAAAAAAAAGATGGAAGTGTCTATAGATTTAAAAAGGCATAAGAAACATATCAACTAATTACAGTGGGCCATTTTGGATCCAAAAACAACAACAACAGACAATTAGGGAAATTTGAACACTAATTAGATGTTGATGACATTTTATTTTATTTTTAAAGATTTTATTTATTTATTTGAGAGAGAGAGACAGCACAAGTGGGGGAGAAAGGAGTAGCAGAGGGAGAGGGAAAAGCAGACTCCCCAGAGAGCTGGGAGCCCGATGTGGGGCTCCATCCCAGGACCCCGGGATCATGACCTGAGCCGAAGGCAGATGCTCAACCGACTGAGCCACCCAGGCGCCCCGTTTGATGACATTTTAAAAACTATTAATTTTTAGGTGTGATAATGGTACTGTTGTGTTTACCAAAAAAGTCTTTATCTTTTAGAGATACAAAGCATCAATTAATATTTCTAAGTCAGCATAGCCAGTTTTAAGAGTACACTTCACTAAATTGTACATCTGAAACTAATATTGTATGTCAATTAACTGGAATTTAAATTTTAAAAAGAGAAAAAAAAACCAGTGTCCACTTCAAGCTCTCAGTGGCAAAAGAGGTGGCAAGCATGAGAGAGCTTGTCAAGGCCCCCCATGCATCACTGGAAGGAGCTTCTGTAGGTGCTGAGGCTTCCTCACACACTGGTCAGCCTGGCTGTGCAGCAAGAAAGTTCTCCAGGAACCAGTGTCTCTACCACCTTGACCCACAAAATGTGGTCAGGTTACCATTCAGTTATTAAGGGACATTCACAAAGACGTTTTCTTGTGTTACTCTCTTTTCCAGAACTCCTTTCTCCAAGTTTGGACTCAGAAGCAAAAGTGGTCATGAGGGGTCAAAATGTATCGCTAATTTGTTCCAACCAGAACAAATCACTACAGATCACCTATTTTTTGTTTCGGCGTGAGAAACACCTGAGAACCCATGATGGAAAAGGTGAACCCATGATTTTTAACCTAAGCATCTCAGAAGCCCATGAGCTGGGCCCCTACAAATGCAAAGCCCAAGTTTCTAACTGTTCAGTGGTCAAATACAGTCATGAGTTCAACTTCACATTTGTGGGTAAGTAGGGCACTCATTCCTGGGGGCGCCCTGTGATTTGTGGGATTCTTTCCTGTTCTACAGTGGGCTCTCTGCTCCCCTACAAATACTCAAGAGTCTGGAAAGTATGTCACTGAGGTCTTTATTCTTAATAATTCCATTTTACTTTCTCTTCTAAAGACTTTTTAAAAATGATTAATAGGGGCACCTGGCTGGCTCAGTTGGTTAAGCGACTGCCTTCGGCTCAGGTCATGATCCTGGAGTCCCGGGATCCAGTCCCACATCGGGCTCCCTGCTCGGCGGGGAGTCTGCTTCTCCCTCTGACCCTCTTTCATCTCATGCTATCTCCCATTCTCTCTTTCTCAAATAAATAAATAAAATCTTTTAAAAAAAATGATTAATAGAAGATTTGTTTAAACAATAATACATAGAGTCATCGTTGCCAGACTTAATATGAAACATTAAATGTCCGATCCAATTTTCCTTCCTGGATAAGTTTTTTGTTTTTGTTTTTTCCTATCTCTGTCAGTTTTGAAAACATAATACCAGAAGAAGAGGGACCCAATTTCAAACAGAGCTCCTACGAGTGAGGTCCTGGGAGTGGGTTTGAAATTGGGATAGATATTTGCTGATCTTGCAGAGGTCGAACGAATCAGGTCAGGATCTTCGTGGAGCCTTCTGTGGCTGGGATTGTTGACTGAAGCAAGTACTCCCGTTTAAGGGGGTGAGCTCGTATGACCAACCGCTCAGCTTGTGCCTTCCCAGCTTCCAGAGATAAGTCGTATTCAGCTGGGTGCAGGGGAGCGGGTAGAGGGGCCAAATTCAATGGCTGGCACTTGGGGAATGACAACTTGGCAGTCCCAAATACGTCTTCCAAAGACTTCTGCCTACTTCAGATAATAGTAGCCTGATTGCCTTAGACAAAAATCTTACATGAACAATTTGGGAAATTGTTGAGATCTTTTCTAGATCCTTTACTCTAGGATCCCCGTCATGTAGGCAAAAATTACTTTTTCTCTGAAGATTCGAGAAGTCTTAGAATCAGTAGTGGATACTGCGGCAAGGGTCTTCAAAGCCCCAGGCCTTTCCCACCTTCTCCCCTTTGCAGTGACTACCCACCAGGTGCTCCATCAGCCAGCGCTCTTCTTGCCCAAACACATCTTATTATTACTGTATTTTTCTCTCCCATCTTCCCACCCCAACCCTCTCAAAACCTAGCATTAATGGTCTCATGACCTTGATAGTGGACTCCTAGGAGAGGGAGATAGGGTTTCCCGGCTAATATGTGTGCATTGTACCTGGAGGCTTTTAAACATAGGAGCTCTGACTTACTGACCAAATCTTTGAGTGACCCTAGGTCTGTGCTCTCTAGCATAGTAGCCATGAGCCACATGCGGTTATTTACATTTAAATCCAAATTAATTAAAATTAAATGAAACAAAAAGCTCAGTTCCTTAGTCTTATTAGTCATGTTTTAAGTATTCAATAGCCACAGCCAACCAGTGCCTGCTGTATTAGACAATGCAGACAAAGAACATTGCCATCATTACAGAAAGTTCCATTGGGCACCACTGCTCTAGCTCAATGGTTCTTAGCTTTTTAGGTTATAACCATCTTAACAATCAGTGATAGGGGTACCTGGGTGGCTCAGTCAGTTAAGCATCTGCCTTTGGCTCAGGTCTTGATCCCAGGGTCCTGGGATCAAGCCTCATGTCGGGCTCCCTGCAGAGCAGGGAGCCTGCTTCTCCCTCTCCCCACCTTGCTTGTGTTCTCTCTCTCTCTCAAATAAATAAAATCTTTAAAAAAAAAAAAACCAAAACAATCAATGATAGTCAGGGCCCCTGGGTGGCTCACTCAGTTAAGCGTCCAACTATCCCCCAGCTGAAAATATTCTCTAGTGGTCATTGTAGGCCACCAGACTGGACTGGGCAGCCTGGTATTGCAGAAAGAGCAATGGGATGACCACTGGGGAACCTGTGTACCACGAGCTTCCTCTGCAACTTTAGATATTCCCTTTGGCTACACCTTTGATATATCTCCAGTCCTCAATCATTAAAATATGAATTGAGAAGATAGGCAGTATAATCCTAACATTGGCTTTAACTCTGGGTGAGAGTCTCAGTCTACTGTGGGCAGAATGGGGTGAGGAGAGTAGGCACTTATTGGCAGGGAAAGCATCCAAATGTCCTTGAAATCACCAAGGTTCTGTGTGAGAAAGGATGCAAGACCCACCACTGGTGTGGGTCTCCTCCATTTGAATAACAGGGGCGTACACTCCTGCAAGGAATAAGCCCTATTTTAGATGGTTTATGAACTCAATGGCTGAAGCCTTAAATTAGCTGATTAAAAAACCCCAAGTACTCATTTGCTGAGCTTCTGTCCCACAGATATGTAGAAAATCTTCCCACATCCTGCCTTCCAGGTAAATGTACACGTTTCCTGCAATTTGTTACAGTAATTACACTGTCCTGTAGAACTGTTTTGATAGGTTATAAAACTGTTTCCTCTTCATTTAGATCAGATTAATAGCTATCTATTGAGTGCTTACCCTGTGCAAGTAATTATGTTGGGCGTTGCTGGAGTTTCAGTGATGCCTAAGACATGTTCTTGTCCCCAGCCTAGTAGGGATATGAGCCATGAAAAACGATCATTGATTCACTCATCAAATATTATTGATACCCCAAATGTCCCAAGCCCTGGCTATACATTCATTTCTGCTCTAGTGGAGCTTACAGTCTTAGTTGGGGAGATACAAAACCCAAGTACCCAAATTCATGATCACAAAATTTGTTGATTGTTAGGAAGGAAAAACAAACTGGCACAGTGATGGAGAGAAGCAGGGGATGGTGGAGCATTCTACTTAGATAGGGTAGTTAGGTAAAGCTTTTCGAAGGGGATGACATTTAAGTAGAGCCCTGAAGAATGAGAAGGCATTAGCTAGGTGAGGAGACAGGGAAAGAGGGCTCTAGTCAAGGGACAATAGCCTGTGCAGGGGCTCCAACTTGGGAAAGAACTTGGCTGGCTGGGAAGGACCTAATAGGCTGGTATGGCTGAAGGTCAGACGAGGGGGCTGTGGCCCCAGGCGAGACTGGAGAGGGAAGGGGCCAAGGCAGGCTGGGCCTGTGACCCAACTATCATCTTCAAAGTTATTCCACTCTAGGTGAGGTGGGGCAAGAGTAGAAGTTGGGCATTGGTTGGGAGGCTCTTGCAGTCATCTAGGAGACAATGGTGAGGATGGACAGAGTGGGTGGATTCAAGATATATTTTGGAGGAAGAAACAGCAGGACTTGTTAATGATTAGATTTGGATTCACAGGTCATGAAGGTGAGGAAGGAATCAAGAATGACTTCCAGATATCTAATGTAATCAGCTGATGAGGAGTGGTGCATTTACTGAGATGGGGAAAACTGGAGGAATGGGGAGTTGGGGAAAATGGAAAGTTGTTAATGGGTATAAAGTTGTGGGTATGCAAGATGTATAAGTTCTCCAGATCTTGCTGTACAACATTGTGCTTACAGTTAATAATACTGTTTTGAGCACTTAAAAATTTAAGTTAGATTTCATGTTAACTCTTCTTACCATGATAAAATAAGTGAATTAATGAAAAGATGGATGGATGGATGAATGAATGAATGAATATATAAAAACATTTCTTAAATAGGGTTTTAGTATATGTTTATCTACCTACTGATTATTCAATAATTAGCAGATTAGCTAGAGTTCAGTTTCAAACAGGTTCCATTTGAGGGGGACCATGAGAAATCCAAGTGGATCATGATGGGAGGCAGAAGAGGAAGCACATCAGCCTGGAGGATTTAGGAAAGGTCTTATGGGAAAGGTGGCAGTTGAATGAGTCTTAAAAGGGCTCCCTAAAATTTGTAAAAAAATATCTGGTTTAGTGAAGAGTAGCTATTCCCTTACTCTGACCACCATGATGCTGTGATGCCCTTTGCCAGTCTTTTTACAAACTCTCAGGGAAGTATACATTTTTCCAATCACTTGAGATATCAATCCTTGGTCTAGTTTGGATCATCCCATCTCAGAGAGGAATCTGTGCTCTCTGCTTCCTCATGAATGTTTCAACGGCCCCTTCCTGAAAATTACAGGATATAGACTTCAGTTCCATAGGAAGAATGTCCTGTTGGTGCTGTTACCCGAGTTGCTTTCCAATGCCACCATTACTATTCCCAAAGCTGTTCTTGGAGGCCACTGTTACCAGGTACTGCTCTGTCAAGGATGCTTCCCCCGGGATTCCTGCTCAGGGGAGGGGTGGAGTAAGGAGACTCTAAATTATTTTCTTTGATTTTACTTATACTTTGGTCCCTGTATTTCACTGTTTCTGTGCCAAACTGATATTGTTTAAAGAAAAAATCTGCTGGGGCATTAGCCCAAGCCAACTGGATCTGTTTACTAGCTAAGTGACCCTGGGCAAGTTTCTTAACCTCTCTGAATCACAGCTTGTTCATCTGTGGAATGGGCATGAAACTATCTTCCTTGTAGTACTATTGTGAAGTGAAATGAGGTAATGTGAATAGCAAGCCTTACACATGATGGATACTGAACAATTTTCCTTCCTTTCCTATTATTCTGCTTTATTAATGAATTAGTTCTTTTTTTATTTGAGAGTGAGCAAGAGGGAGAGCATGAGCCGGGGGGGGGGGAGCAGAGGGAGAGGGAGAAGCAGTCTCCCCACTGAGCAGGGAGCCCACGAGGGGCTCGATCCCAGGACCCTGGGATCAGGACCTGAGCCAAAGGCAGACGCTTAACTACGTGAGCCACCCAGGTGCCCCTATTAATGAATTATAAAATCAATAATATAGCTGGATTCTCCCACAAAATAGGGTATGACCTGACAGAATCTAGCAGACCCACATACTTCCTGTTGAAAAGGTCCTTTGATTAACATAACAATAAAAAATTATTTAAAAAAAAAAAGTTCCTTTGAATCTATTTACCAGGGTTACTTCCTGCTTGTGGGAGGAAGTAGAAGATAACTGTACAGCTGAATTCTATAAATAAAAATAGTTAGAAAAGATGATATTTTTAGATTTCTTTGATTAAAAAAGAAAAAACCCCACTGTAGCCTTATAAAGATTAGGAATAAAAGTACCTCTCAACTTCATACTTGAAACTAGATCTTTGACAAAATTATACTCATCCCCAACAATGAACAGACTGAGACTTCTGATGAAAGGCAAGTTTGTGCTGTGATTCCTCAAAGCAGAGAGACGCCTTCCACGTCGTTCTCAGCACCTGGCTTGTGCTGCACTGAGTGCAGCTAACCACTTACCACTGGTCTTTCTCACTGGGCAGCCAGCTGCCTGACGTCTCAAGAAGGGGGTCATTCATCTTCTGGTCCACGGTCGGGAGCAGAGTAGGGGTTCAATCCACGTTTGTGGACTGAGTGAGTGAATCCAATCTTCTTATCATTTAACACACACTTTCATTTTTCTAGACCCAGTGATCACACCAGTGTTGAACATTCATGTCATTAACATAGAAACAGACTGACATATAATACTACGTTTGTAGCTCATTCAATGGCTCTCTGCCCATCACTTATACTTCCTTTGAGAAAGATATTGCCCTATCACCACCTATTTCCAAGCATGTAAGGGAGCCTGCTGAATTCAACTTAAGCAAGAGCAACACTGGAGAAAGGGAAGAGTACAGGTGCAAAACTGAAAACAGGTTGCCTGACCATGAAAGATACAGTCAGCCAGTCTCCATCAATCCCCCACCAGGTAAGGGCTACCTGAGCTCTTTCCGCAGGGTCTGCATTTGCTTCCAGAAACTGTAGTTTCTCTGCCCACCCACTTCCCATGCTGGCCATCTGCATCCAAATGCCTTTCCTTTGGGAGGTTCCACACAAACCCCGATGGGGTTTCTTTCTGCCACTAAAAGGAAGAAGATGAGCCTAGAAGCTAGGTCAGGAATCCTGTAGGGAGACTTACATCCCTACAATCCTGTAGGGAGACTTCCTAACTTGGCCCTGCTTCCTGCCTTGATCTTCCATGGCCCAGGTTCTAAGCAATCACATCAGATTTTGCATCTCTCGGAGCTGCTGGGTTTTGATTCTCTTTTGCTTTTCCATTGATTTCTAACACCTGTGCCCTCCTGCTTGGCTGTTTACTGCCCACTGCCAGGGGTTGGTGAGTGGAGACCTCCAGGACCCTCCTTGGGGTGAGAAGAGCTCCTGTCCCAGTGCTGTGTTTGGGAGGGCACTGTTCTGCTGCTTTCTCCGCCATGCATCTTCCCCTCGGCTGGGGAGCTCAGGGGGAAACAGGAGAATATACCCACCTGGACCCTGTATCCCCACTTTCCTGAACCATATTCTGGGTACCTGGACCTGAATTCCCTACCCAATCAGATTGGGACCCACCTTCCAGGGCCTACACAAGTCTCATTCCCAGCTCATCCTCCCAAGGCTGTCCCACAGAAAGGAAGTGAGCATTGCTGGCCCTGAGTTAAGGGGGCTGTTTGTGGGGAGCATGGACAACATCTGTACACACAAGCTGGAGGGTCCATGTGCACATGAGACCCCTTAGGGTGCAGGTCAGAGTCTGAGTGGAAAGGTGGGCCAGGCTGGGGCTGGGGCTGGCTCTCTGCATGCTGCCATGTTCTAGTGCAGAACGCTGAGGAGTTTGAGAATTCTAGATTCAAACCTGGCTTTCCAGGACCTTACAAAGAGACACTCATTGAGGTAGGAGAAGGATAGAACAAAAAAGGTTAGCTAAGGCAGTAGGCACGCTTAGGTACTGAACACTTCACCCAGCCTCATCCTCAGAACAGAGCCCACGCCCTGGTGTTCTGTAAGTTCTAACAAATGAGGCAGCCTGTAGGACTCAGGCTCCAGAGTCAAGCTTTGCCTACAGTCACAGCCCTTCCATTTACTAGCTGTGTGACTGTAGGAAAGTCATTTAACCCCTCTGAGCCTTACTTTAGTCATCTGTAAAATGGGAATGATAGCAATGAGATAAATATGGCAATGCATGTAAAGCACTTAACACAGTGTCTGGGGTGTAGTTAATAATCAATGGTAGCTGTTTAAGTGACATAAATCATACCAAATGACTAAGGGCTTTGCCCAATAAATGACCAGGCTTTTCTGAGCCTTATGATCCTAACAACGCTGCCAGGAATCCATCTGTTAAATGCTGTGCTGTTTTTCTCTTCTTTGTATGACCCCATGTGGAAGATGCACTTGGTTGTGACTTCCAGAACTTCACTAACAAGTTAATTCTCAAGAGTGGCAGGTGTCCATAGCAGTCTGGAGACTGGGGTGCACAGTACATTAGTTAGCCTGGGAGACGGTGGTGACTGCCCTTTCCAGAACATTCCACAGTTCAATACCATTGGAAAAGAAAGCTGTGTGGTGACCAGTGAATGCTGTCTTCTTCCAGGTGGAGACGGCTGTCCTTTCTGCCTGCAGGTACTGCTTCCAGGGTTATTGCTGGTGCTAATTTTAATAATCCCAATTCTGGCATTTTGGATACTACCAAAGTACAAAGCAAGTAAGTTCTTCAGCAGCTTTTGCATTGTTTGCTATGGGTGTTGGGTACAGAAAGCAGAAGAGAAGGTGAAGAGGAAGGGAAAGGGAAATATAAAATGGGATATGAGGTGAACAAAGAGAGAAGGGAAAGAGGCAAAAGGGGAAGGTAAATGAAGCCGGCTTCCCGCACAGCTCACACCTAAACTGGTTCTCATTTCTCTGGCGAAAGCCCTTCTTGTGTCGATGGCTTGGAGGTCTGTGACCTGTGCGGTCACACGGAGCCCCTGCACTGAGAAGAGCCCCACACTGGGTTTCGTGCTCTGCTGTCACTGTCTTGAAATTCTGAATATTTTTTCTTTTTAACTCTTTTTAAAATTATTTTTTAATTTGTGAAATATACAGACCAATACAATTTGCCATCTTAACCATTGTTAAGTATATGGTTCAATGGCATAAGGTGCATTGTTACTGCTGTGCAATTATCACCGCTGTCCACGCATGGAACTTTTCTCATCTTGCAAAACTGAAACTCTGTCCCCATTACGCCCTCCCCATTTAGTCCCCCTCCCCCAACCCCTGGCAACCACTACTCTCTCTTCTGTCTCTCTGAATTTGGCTACTCTGGGGACCTCGGATGACGGACTCCTACGGTATCTCTCCTTCTGTGACTGGCTCATCTCACTCAGCAGAAGTCCTCGAGATTCATCCATGTTGTGCATGTGTCAGAATCTCCTCCATTTCTAAAGCTGAAGAATCTTCATTACAGACAGATCCATAGATACATATGCATATATACACTAAGTTGATCCACTCATCCGTCAATGGGCCCTTGGGTGGCTTCCACCTTTTGGCTACTGTGAATACTGTTGCCACGAACATAGGTGCACAGATCTTCATACTTTTTTAACAAGAGGCCCTGCATTTTCGCTGTGCACCGGGCCCTGCAAACGAGCTGGTGGGTTCTGACTGGCAGCTCCGCAAGGGCAAGAGCTTTGCCTTGTATCTGTCAGCATGCTGCCTAGCTCTGCCACTCAGAGGAAGCTCAGTCAAAGAAGACCAACAAGAGCATCGCTGTCCTCTGCCTACCTTCAGTGCTGCATCAAGCCCCAGTCACTGCTTTTCATTATTCACCTCTTATGACCACCTCTACTTATGATTTCAAAATGGCCTTTTCACTTGGCATGCAAGTATGGAGAAGTATCAAGATATGCACAAAGAACAGCATGTCTCAGCATCAGCACCCCAGCAGTGAGCTGAGGGGCATTGGGCAGCCTCCTTCACTTGCCTGAGCTTCAGTGTTCTGACCTGTAGAACGGGGAGATACTGTCATAGCTAGGGAGAGAACCAAGTTCTTGTTAAGATAGAACCAAGATATTTGTTCACCTCCTGTGCCTCCTCTAGAGAGTTATCATTCAGACAAGTCAGAAACTTAGTTGACACAAGACTTGAAAATAGATGTCAAAATGTATACATCTGGGCACCTGGGCAGCTCAGTTGGTTATGTCTGCCTTCGGCTCGGGTCATGATCTCAGGGTCCTAGGATCGAGCCCCGCATTGGACTCCCTGTTTGGCAGGAAGCCTGCTTCGTCCTCTCCCTCTGCTACTCCCCCTGCTTGTGCTGTCAAATAAATAAATAAAATCTTAAAAAAAAAAAGTATACATCTTATACATTTTTTAAAACCTGTCTTCCCTTCCTACAAAAAGTCTTGCAAAAGTCGAATTAGTGTTCTTGGTTACTGGCCAGGGCTAAATAGAACTCAGCTGGGTAATTTACTGTCTCTTGCAGATATTACAAAGCTTTTTACAGACTGTTCTTTTCAGTGAAGGAAAGAAAATGTGATGTGTCTCTGGCATAAGCAAAGGATGTCCCTCACAGACCCAGAAAAATAAATCAGAAGGGCTTCTGGCTTGGAGAAGAGGGTGCTATGGATTCCTTGCTGAGTCCATGGTTTTCCTTCAATAGACAACAGTTTAGGCCATGGGAGCAGGTTATTCTTTGTTTCGGAACTTTGGGGGATTCTGCTCCTTGGCAGAGGAAATGAGAAAATGTGGCTGAACTGGTTTAATTTAATGATTCTACATAAATGATTCACTTTATGTAGGAAAAGCTATAAGAGATAAAGCACCTGGAGACTATGGAAATACGGCCAGGGAAGTTAGAATATATGCAAATATCTGTGAAAATCAAGCAGGTAAGAGAATTTTTTTGGGTATTTTGATTGGTGTGGTTGGTTGGATTCAGATTTTTGTCTTTTTTATTTTTTTTTAAGGTTGTACAGACCCAGGGGTAAAAAAAAAAAAAAAGAATAAAAGAATAAAAGGAATTAGAATACAATGTCTTCCTCCCACCCCTGACATCCAGTCCTACTTTACAGGGGCAACAACCAATTTTTAAAATCCTCACATAGATCCTCTACGTGGATGCTAGCATCTACACAAAGGGTAGCAGGTCATAGATATGCCATTCTACACCTTGATTTTTTCACTTAAGAACATATCTTGGAGATGTTTTAATGTCAGTTTGGAAGGATCCACACTGTGTTCCAGAGCCTCTTATGATCCCCTCTTAAGGCAGGCATCATATGCTGCTTTATGGTAAATAGACTCAGGGCCTTGGTAACAATGAGAACAAAACCAGCCCACGCCTAACCCTGTTGCCGGCATGGTGCTAAGCAATTTACCTACCCTGTCCTACACAAACACCACTAACTCCCAATTTATGTTATTCCCATGTTACAGGTAAGGAATCCGTGCGAGGCTTGGAACCAAGGCAGTGTGTTCCCACAGCCCAAGATGGTAAGTGTTCTCTGCAAAGTCCAGAGGCTGCACACCATGTCAAGGGTGGCTGGCTAAACCACTGCCCTCACGTGATCAGAGATTCGGATTATAGGCCCAATAACTCTGTTCCTTGTCTTTTGCCCAGGAACTGGACACTCCCAGGAGATACACTATGTTACCCCTGTGTTCCAGGAGGTGGCACCCAGAGTTCATGGTGAGCCACAGTTTGGGATAAGAGGATCCTATCAACATGAGACATAAGGCCACCAGGGCTTTAGAAGCCCAAGGATGGGGTAGATGGAGGCAACATGCACACCTCAGGAAGCCAGTAACAACCTAACAAATCTCATTAGGAGATGGGGGGGCGGGGTTGGAGAGGGAAGGATGTGACACTGAGAGTTTCATATAAAAAAATCCAGAGAGGAGGATGCAGGGGTACTTCAAAACGATTTTCAAGAATAAATTATTCTTATATAGTCTAGAAAAAAAAAAGTTAATACATGGTTCTTTCAGACCACCCAGCTACTAAAATGAGGTTTTTTGGAGGGGGGGGTTCATTTTAGAATCCCTATGGATATATATCCTAATTTTACTGAATTATTTTCTCTCATATTTCAGAAGCCTGTAATGATTGTAAAACTGGATATATCTATTCAGAACTCATCTTCTGAAATTTAAAGATACAAGCTACATCTCAGAGTAAGATCCTTTTTATAAAGCTGATTTACATGAAGAAAAGGCAAATGTGATCGATACTCAAAAATATCTCACTGGTGACCTAAAGTGAATTACTATTTTTCATGATTAAACACCATTCCTTTGGCCTATTTGGGTACACCCAATCCTGTCATCAGGCAACAGTTTTGTCAGGTGGGATCCTGACTGGTGACAGTTTTTAAATGCTTCTGCCATTTTTAGGCATGGACCATTCTCCCCATTGCCACATCACTGAAAAAAGAGGAATCGCCAGACCACTGTGCTCTTCATTAAGTGCATCCTGGAGGTAGAATAGCGATCACCTTTCCAGGGTCCCCACCACCATGCCCACCGAAGGTTCAGAAGAAAAAAACCATGTCTAAATTCTAAAACAAAAACTGGCGACCTTGAAAATGTGTCTGAAGAAAAGAGTTCCCGTAGTTACGAGAGGAAAACGAGATTATTCACCAAGGACACATTTATTATCCATTGCTATTCAATTTGCTCTCAGATTTTGGAAGCCCGCAAACATATTTATATTGATTTTCATGGACGTTCTCAGTCCTCAAAACTTAGCTAATGGCAAAGGCATGCCTTTATGTGCTGCATTTCCCATTGGCATTCTGTAGAGAGGATAGTGTTCTGTGAGAGACAGGAGAATGGATTACTTTGACTGTCTTCACAAATCACCACAAACTGGTGGCTTAAGACAACAGAGATTTATTTTCTCAGAGTTCTGGAGGCCAGAAATCTCAAATCAAGATATCAGCACGGCTGTGCTCCCTCCAAAGACTCTAGGGGAGAATCCTTGCTTGTCCCTTTCAGTTTCCTATGCTTCCTGGTGTTCCTGAGCTTGTGGCAACATCTCTCCAATCTCTGCCTCTGTCTTCATATGGACTTCTTTTCCTTTGCCTTTCTTTTATAAGGATACTGGTCATTGGATTTAGGACCCCCAGGATGACCTCATCTCAAGATCCTTAATTATATCTACAAAGATACTTTTTTGTTTTTGTTTAAGATTTTATTTATTTGAGAGATAGAGCAGGGAGAAGCAGAGGGGGAGGGAGAGGGACAAGAAGAGCACGCGAGCCCAACACTGGGCTTGATCCAAGATCATGACATGAGCTGAAACCAACAGTCAGATGCCCAACCTACCGAGCCACCCAGGCGCCCCCTTTTTCTTTCTCTTTTCTAAGATCTATTTATGAGAGAGAGAGAGCTGGGGGAGGGGCAGAGGGAGAGAATCCTCAAGCAGACTCCCCACTGAGTGCGGAGCCTGACACTGGGCTCAATCCCAGGACCCTGAGAAAATGACCTGAGCCGAAATCAAGAGTTGGGCACTTAACCAACTGAGCCACCCAGGCACCCCTCTGAAGACCTTTTTTTCAAATAAGATGATGTTCACAGGTTGCAGGAGTTAGGACATGGACTTATCTTTTTGGGGAGCCACCATTCAGACCACTACAGGGGTGGGTCAAAATGATATCTGGTTTAAATCTCTCATCCTAGGCGTTATTAGTCAAGTCCAATAAAAGCCAAGAGGCATTTCTTGGGTTCTAGATGAACAAAACAACTTGGCCCAAATTTTTCTGCTCTGCTCTTCTTCTGGGGGTTGCTTGAAACTCAGTCTTAATAGTTCCCAACAGTGGACCTCTGACTAGAAAAATCATAGCTACCAGTTATTAGACACTAACTGTCTAGCATCCTACAGGGCGATATTATTATTTTGCTTTTACAGGTAAGGAAACTTAGACTCAGATGGGGTAAGTGATTTCACAAGATCACTCACAGATTAGTAGTGGTTGAACTGGGAGTTAAATCCTAGCAAAGATCAGCAGAAGCACTGGCCATGGGAATGCCTCTCCAGGGTGGGAAGGGATACTGTGTACATAGATCCAGATTAATTTGAGGATTTTGTTGCCATAAAGCAGCATTCATGAGCATTTCTACCCTTTCTCTGTTGACATTTTTATTTGGGGGAAAATCAGTGTGTCATAGAGGCTAAGAAAGTAAGGGTTCCAGAGTCAGACAGACCGAACATAATTCAGGCTCAGTTGTGTCTTAACTGTGGATAAGTTATGGGCTTCAGTGTTATTCACTTGGGGGGACGGAGAAAGGGGGCAAATAATACCAGCATATGGAGGGGCCGTGATAATTAACTCAGGTAATGAATGTAAAGGGCTTGGAACAGGGCCAGGCATATAATTAAAAAAAAAAAGGCTATTTGAGGTATGGTGCTTACTCTGCGTCCTACTAATTGGCTGCTCCCCTTAGAAATCTTTAAGTCTTTGAGGTCTTAAACTTCGTAACTTAGTTATCATTGGCTGCTTCTTCTGTCTTGAGGTCCCTCCGGAAGCAGAGCCTGAGACAAGGACTTGAATGCAGGTAGCCTATATGGCAGGTGACCTCAGGCAGCAGGAGTGAGGGAGCAGGGCAGTAAAATAGGGAGGAAAAGTCAACACTGGGGTGGGGAGGGGCTGGCAAGCTCCAGACCATAATGGTAATTGGATTTGATCCAGTTAAGACCTTCTGAAGTTTTGAAGCCCAGAATGCCTCTGGGTTTCACAGCATGCCCTGAATCAATAGTCTCTCATTTTCTCCTTGCAAAGCTTTTAAAGCAGTTAGTAGAAGCCAACCAACTCCACAATCCATATAATTACCATTGCCCTGTGCCTTTCAAGTGCTAAAACCATTGCATAGCCTAGTGCTTCACTTTCTACCTCTGCCTCCTTCCCCACTGCAGAGGAAGGTCTTAATAATTGTAAAGTAATTGTGAAGCTATGGCATGTAAAGGTTATCACCACCCTCCTTACCACCCCCTTACAACATCGCCTGTTGCTATCCATCCAAGGTGTAAATCCGTTTCCTAGGGCTGCTTTCTAGGGCCTTCTGATACCCTGTCTTATCCTGGACTGGCCCTGAAAGCAGAGCCTGAGATAAGGATTCGGTGCAACTAATTTATCTGGGAGGTGACCCAAGGGAACAAGCATAAGGGACTGGAGGAAAAGCCAGTACCAGGGCGTACTGTTGAGCTGGGCACTTCTATGGACAACTGGGGATTGATCCCACTGGAACCTTCAGAGCAACGAGAAAATGTCCCTCAGAACTGTCTGCTTGAGGACCTATCCATTGGCTTTCATCCCTGATTGGCTGAGGGTTGTCCCAGGAGGTGATGCCTCCCCCACTTCTAGGCTGTGCATGTGGACATTCCAAGCTGGCATCTCACCCAGGGCACTGCAAAGCATCAGGGCAGAAAATGGGGGTATGTGTTGTACACTTGAAGCAAGATGCTGTCGACACAAAGTGAATGAAGTCTCAGGGGCAGTTGGAATCGGAGGTGAGGCCCAGGGGATGTGACGCAAGATACAGAGGTGGCGGGTACGCCATCTCCCAAGAATTCCTCTGTGACAACAATAGCTGCCACGTGTGCAGCACGTACCAGGGTGCAGGTGCTGTGAAGTGCTTTGTGTACTTAGGCTTGTGTAGTCCTCATGACTCCGTCCTCACCCAGCTGTGACTTCCTGTGGCTTCCCACTCTACCTGATCCCACCCCCCGCCCCCGCGCAGATGTTCAGGCTTTTGGACTGAATTGTTCAGGAAGAGAAGAGAAAAAGGAAAGGGAAAAGGTCTACTGAGTTTTCCTTTCAATAGCTACATTTTTGTCATGTCTATTTCAGCTTCACTTTGGGTCTTTTTCAAATCCAGGGTCTTTACATTTTTTGTTGTTGTGAAATAGAGTACACATTATAAGAAAATGCATTAAAATGGATATGGACGACTTGGTAAGTTATACGGAGTGAACACTGCCCATGGCCCAGACGCCCTCTGCATGCCTCTTCCCACTCACAAACCCACCCCCCCGCCCTTCACTACTCATTTAAGGGGATCGATTCTTTGCTTTTCTTTATAGTTTTACCACCAAGTATGCATTCCTGAATACTTTCTTTAGTTTTGCCTGTTTTTGAACTTCATATAAATGGAATCATATAGCATTTATTCTTGTGTCTGGCTTCTTTTGCTCAACATTATATTTGTGAGGGTGCCTGGGTGGCTCAGTCGTTAAGTGTCTGCCTTCGGCTCAGATCATGATCCCAGAGTCCTGGGATCGAGTCCCGCGTCGGGCTCCCTGCTCAGTGGGGAGCCTGCTTCTCCCTCTGCCTCTCTCTCTCTGATGAATAAATAAATAAAATCTTTAAAAAAAAACTTAAAAAAAACACATTATATTTGTGAGATTTATCCGTGTTGCTGCATGTAGTTGTAATTACATCTTCCATTACTAAATGGTATTCCATTGTTTGAATCTACTGTAATTTATCTGTTCTACAGCTGACACACATTTGGGCTGTTGTCAGCGTGGGGCTATTGCGATTATGCAGCTGTGACCACTCTTAAGCTAGGAACATGTCTGATGCTTCCCAACTGCATGCAACTGTGCTGAATATGTGTCGGGATACAATGTCTGGGTCATGGGTCTTATCCCCAGCCTAAGTAGACAATGCCATAATATTCTCCCAAGTGGTCCTATCACCTCTTCATTCCCTTGAGCAGTATGTGAGTTTTCACCCCCCTACATTTTTACCAACCTACCAATTAAAATGGCACTGTCATTTTAATTTAACCATCCTTGTGGGCATATAGTGATATCTCATTGTGATTTTAATTTGCATTTCCCTGAGATTAATAAGGTTGAACACATTTTCCTATATTTAGAGATCATTTGGATTCCTTTTTTAATGAAATACCTGTTTGAGGCTCTTTGCCTGTTTTTCTAGGAGGTGTTTTAACTTTTTCTTATTTTTTAATAGTTGTTCTCCTACTCTGACGCTTAATTTTTCACTCTCTCAGTGTTGCCTTTTGATGAAAAGAAGTTTTAATTTTAAGAACTTAATTTGTCTACCTTTTCCTTGACGGTTAGTGTTTTTTGTGTATGTGTGTCCAGGTGAAGAAGCATTTCCTCAACTTGAGGGCATGCAAG